ACTCGTCTAGGTCGTTTAGCACGATTACGTAAATCAACAGTACCATCAACAGGTTCAATGCCCCATGATGAACTAATTCGTTTATGTGATGACTATGATTTATCGAGTGGAGAATTTTTTTTTGATCGTCATCCACGTTCATTTACATCGGTTATCAATTTTTATCGTACAGGAAAACTTCATTTAGTTGATGATATATGTGTTATATCATTTCATGATGATTTAGTTTATTGGGGTATTGATGAATATTATTTAGAATTATGTTGTCAAAACAAATATCATCAAAAAAAAGAACATGTTTTAGAAGAAATGAAAAAAGAAGTTGAATTATTAAAAGTTGAAAAAGGAGAAACATTCGGGGAACATTGTTGTCCAAATACAAGACGTAAAATATGGGATCTTGTTGAACATCCACATACATCAAAAGCAGCGCGAGTATGTTTGAATTTTTGTAAAAAATTATTTCATTATTAAATTTAGGTTATTGCATGTGTTAGTATTGCTTTTATTCTTCTTTCATCATTTACATTAACAATAAGTACGATTGAAGGTATAATTAAATGATAGATTTTATTTTAAAAATTCAATTTAATATTATTTAAGGTATTGGTTGTGCACCAAATCTTACTGATGTTGACGTATCATCATTAGATCGTGCAGCAGCAGTTGATGTTGATGCAGTTCATATAGCTGCTCAATCAGCTGCTCAATCAGCTGCTCGACAATTAGTTGTTGAACATCATGATAATTATAATGAATGTCGTGAACCATTATCTTTATTTATAATTGAAGCATTATGTATATCATGGTTTACAGTTGAATATATAATTCGTGTATTTGCAACACCAAATAAATGTAAATTTTTTAAAGGTGTTTTAAATACAATTGATCTTATTGCTATTGTTCCATTTTATGTATCGATTATACTTGAAACATTAGATACAGGAAATTTAAAAAATTTAAAATCAGTTCGAAAAGCTGTACAAGTTTTTCGTGTTTTACGTATAATGCGTATATTAAAATTAGCACGGCATTCAACAGGTCTTCAATCTTTAGGTTATACATTAAGACGAAGTTATAAAGAATTATCAATGCTTCTCATGTTTCTTGCTATATTTATATTACTGTTTTCAAGTCTAGCTTATTTTGCTGAAAAAGATGGAAATGCAATACAATTTCGTTCGATTCCACATGCTTTTTGGTGGGCAAGTATTGTAAGTTGAAAGAAAAACATATATTTCTTCTTAAATACAAACTAAAAACAAATAAAAATTTCTTTTGTTTTTTTTTCTTCTTTACAAAATAAAAACAGACAATGACAACAGTTGGTTATGGTGATATATATCCAAAATCGATGTGGGGTAAATTAATTGGTTCAGTTTGTTGTGTTTGTGGTGTACTTGTTATTGCTTTACCAATACCAATTATTGTTAATAATTTTGCTGAATATTATAAAGAACAATTACGTCGTGAAAAAGCTTTAAAACGTAAAGAAGCTATTGATCGTGCAAAAAAAAATGGTTCAATAATGTCAATTCAATCACATTTTATATCAAATACAAATTTATCTCCTGTCGATCTTAATGCACGTCATACAAGTGCTATGAAATATATGTCAAGTCTTGTACATGCAAGTGATGAACCAATACATGATTCAGCATGTTATGAAAAGAAAACATTATTATCACCATCGAAACAAAGTTCACATACAATTGATGTTTTTCTTGATAATAATGAAAATGTCAAAGCACAAGATGAAGATGCTAAAGAAGCTTTACTTACTAAACAAGATATTCCAACTGATTATGAACGTAAAACTACGATATCTGACCGTTAAAAACAAAATATAAAAGCTCAATTTTGGTATCCTTACTACTAAAAAATGTATATTGATGGCAAATGGTTTTCTTTTTCTTATTTTATTTTGAATGTATTGTATCCAATGTTGAATATTCATTGTGTGTTGAAGAAGACGTGTTATAGTTTTTTGAATTATCCGGTTTTTTTTGGATAAAATTTCAATTAATTTTCCATTAAAAAAAATATTTTTTTTTGTTCTTGTTTTTTGAGATTTCATTATTAAGTGTAATCGGAGATGAAGGGTTTGAATAGAATTGAATCTTATAATGATTACTAAGAGAATGACTGATAGCTATGATGTTTCCTGTCTCATATAAACAATTCATAGCTGCACAGATCAAACAACTTATATGATCTTAATGTCAGATGCTATAGAATCCATGCATGTTTTTCCAGGTTTCTCACGACGTTGCATACCTGATTTTCTTCTATTTTTGGCTTCTTTCATCTTGTTTTGGTTAACAAAGTCTTTTATCTTTACTTGCATATGAGTATTTATTTGGTAATAATTACACAAACTAAATGAACACATAACTATGAGCTTAAAAAACTTATATTTATTAAATTTGATCGTTGAAATGATCTAACATAAAGACTCAAATGCTCTAAAATTAAAAAATTAAATTGAATAAATATATTCAATATCTTGAAATAAAGTATTATATTTCACATTATTGCTAATGGTTTTTATTCATTGATTACATGATAATATTGATACATATTAAACATTTTAGGTTTATGTTGATGCAAGCAAACTTGGTTGTTTTTTTTTTCTTGAATCTGGTAATTGCTATTAGGTTGAAAAGGGCGGTTCAAGCCCAAAAATCTCTAAACGATATTTTTGCTTTGTTAAAACAATAAAACTTTGTTGTAAGATAATGTATATATTCATTTAATTTTCATTTTATGTCAAGATTTAACTATATTCCATACAAAAAAAATGATAAACAATTTAAACGAAAGAAAACCTACTTCTATTTAATCAAATTCATTAAATCATCTGTGGAATAAATTCTTTTAGTAGATCAGCATCACTACATAGAAGATACATTGCCAAATCTAAAAATGGCGTCTAGATTAAACCGTATTTAATCGCTTGAATATTTATTTCAATGCATAAAACTATTTTTATAAAAACTACTTCTATAAGCAAATTCTCACAAGACTTTATAAGAGTTATGTAAGATTCACAATAACATCTTGTATAAAGATAAATATTAAATCTTTTCAATATGAATCTGACGCCATTCAGTTGCCAGCAAAATCTTATACGGTCTTCATAAGGTTTTTCTAGATGGGCGATTGTTTGCTGATCATCTGATATCCATTGTTCTGTATATCTTAATTGATATGATAGAAGAGATGATTTTATCAATGAAACACTACGAATAATATGATATTAACAACACTATGGAATCAGTAAGATCAATCTTATATAATAAAATTTATTTCAAATATGATACTAACATATATGGTTAGCTCTTAATGTCATGTTAATACGAGATTTATATATTTGTCTAGTATTATGATGCTATATTTTCATTTAGTTGTTGCTTAGTAGCTCGTTGTTTTTCATTGTTTTGACGTTGACATAAGATGATAGTCCTGTTAGTCAAAATAAAAAATGAACAAATAACGCTGAAGATTCTCTTCTATTATACATATAAAAATAAAAATGCTATTAATTGTAAAACCACACATTTCTTATTTGTTTGTATTCCGAAAAGAATGTATATGATACAGAATAAACATAAACAATAAAGATCGTACAAGATTTGACTGACAATTAGATATTGTAAAATTCATAGTGTATGATCTTATGACATCGTAAAAATATCTTGATGTAAAACTTAATATTTATGTGACTAAACGATGCTACTATGAATCTTGCATGATTTTTAACAAGTCTTATTGAGTCTTACTTATATGGATAGTTTTGATAACCATAGTTTTGTGTATTTAAATAAATATTTAAGCGATTGAATACGCTCAAGTTAAGATGCTACTTTATTTAGAATTGAAAACCCATGTTCGATGTCGTTGTTTTTATTTGCAAAAAATATCACTCCATAGATAATTTAATGCACTTGAATAGACATAAGCCGGTTTTATTTTGATTTAATTATTTATCTTTTTATTTTAGATCATTTCAATGATTAAATTCAATAAAAAAAAGTTTTTTTTAAGAATGTTATTATACGATAAAAGCGTCAAGTATCAAAGACGATGATTTTTCATACAATTTTCATAAGATTTCGTTTGATCCTCAAGAATCTGACGTCGTATTTTTTTTGATTTAAGAATTTTTTCTGATTGTAAGAAAATTTCAATATATATGCATCAAAACGTTTTTGAGATGTACAAAAAGTCTTTAGAAGACAAGTTGAAACATATTCTTTGTATCACAATATTGTTCTTCTACAATAATGAAATATATCTGTGTAATAGTATATTAAATTTATTTCGTTTCCATTATTGATAATCGTCGAATGACTTTTTAAACGCTTTCAATCAATTATTTACGCCAATTATTTTTCTCTTATGTGTACAAACCTTATCATATAGCTGTTAGACAAGTTTCTTACATATTGCAGTGGCTTATGTAGTCTTTTAGCTATTTCTTATACAATGGATTGTAGGAATTCACGTAAATTGATTTACAAACTCATTGAAGTTTATTTGCGATAGATATCGAACTTGATATTGAAATTCTTTTTCAATTAGTTCTGGAAATTATATTTCATGGTATGTCTTCCAAAATCTTACAAATTTTGTTTAAAAAGCAAGCATAAGAGGTTACCAAGTTTGTAGCACATGTGAACAAGTATAATTCAATTTACATTCTCGATTATTATACATCTGATTTGGTTAGACTACTATTGGAATACACTAAAACCAAAATAATAACAAATATTGTGATTACCATTGAGTGCTTTTTCACTTAATGAAAATTTGTTTTCGTAATCAAAACTTATTGATTCCTTTTTTCCTTTGTTCAGATTATCTAGCGACTCATTATCATTGAAAATAAAACATTTGACATATTTTATGGCTATTTTTACTGTATATATTCTACTCATCAAGCACAAAGTATGTTGAAAAAGAAAGAAAAAAAAATATTGTCCAACATACAGACATTCTCAAACATTGCTCATATGATGCCGAGCACGTGGTTCATAAGTTTTAGATAAACGGTCAATTATTTGTCCAGCTGCAATGTCGTCTGTATTACGTGCAACTATGTCAAATATTAAAAATCCATCCAAGCTTAAATAATCTGTAAGACCATGAGCTGTTTCCACTCGACCATGACCTCGATATGTTGGCATCGTTGTCGATGACAATAAACTTTCTTTTTCTTTCGAAGGTGTTGCACTCATTTTCAAATATTTTTTAATTGTAGATAATCGACGTGATCTTCCTAATGATATCATCCAAAGAATCATCGATAAAAAGTTCAATATTGTTAAAACAATTAACCATATCCAAATAGCAAGAAATATCTTTTCATTGTATATATTAATTGGTAAATTGCATTGTATGGCATACCAATGTTGATTTGAACCTAAATGTCGTATCATAAAATCACACATAGTAACACGAGGAAATCTTGGTGATTCAAACCAATCATCACCACTAAATAATTTATTTAGTCCTTCAGGACCGTAACTAGTAAAATGAAATGATAAAAATGTATTGAGTAGAAAGAATTGGCAAAGTGTATTGACAATATAAAGTATTTTAACACTAAAATATGTTACTGTATAACTATAATAAAAATTTGGACAACGGACACCACAACATATTGTTCCTTGTATTGAATTTTGTGTTTCAATATGTGATTGTAATGCACAATGGGTTAATTTTACACCTTTCTCAGGATCTAGTGGATCTTTAATAGCTTTTACAAGTCGTTGAATATTGACACCGCCTCGTCGTGTAAATGAACACCATAAGTATCGAGGTACAAGAAATAATAGAGCCATACCAAGTAGAATAAATGGTGTCCATTGATAATAAGAACTAGAAATATATTGTTAATTCAATAATACATGATTTTATTAAGAAGGTAGCTTACACATGATAGAGTCTAGGTTTCGATCGATCGGGAATTGTAACTAAAAAAAAGACAAACATAATATTCAAAACAATATTTAAGTACATTGATTCCAGAGATTGAAATGATTTCTCTTGGCTTTTCTCTTTTACATCGAGATAACAGGTTATGTAGCTTTCTCATAAATATGCTGAATTTCAAGTATCTAATTAATGCGCTGAATACGTTTCTTTTGTATGTGATTGAGAACTATAAAATACTTCACCACTTATTTTAATAATAAAAATGGCTAGCTTCACGAAGCATTATTTCGTTTTAAGTGCTTTTGTTTACTTAGATTTAGATTAGCTTTTTTAAGGTTATGTGAATTAATTACTTCTTTAGATTGTTTTATTTTAGATGTAAAAGGTGTTATAGTACTTTAGCGCGACTTGTTAGATGATCTTTTGTAGATTATATATGACAACTATAAATATAACATACTTTCTTCTGTTGGTAGATAATAGGATCCTTTTAACCAACAAATACTGTTTGTATAAGAATTATGTGTTCCACTAAATTGAGCTATAGTTAAAAGTACAAAATGTAATAGTAAAAGAAAGGTTTTTTTTTTTTGAAACCTGCCTGGTGTCCAACAGTTGATCGGATCTCCAACATAGCTCTTTCCTGTAATTATAAAAATACACATTACTAATGCCATAACTGTATATCGACTATTAAGACGGTCGATAAGATCATCATCTTCTAAATGATTAAGTTTTCGGCCATAGCGCTCTTCTGAAATAATAATCTTGTCCATAATGAGGAAAATATTCAATAGACAATAATATTCAGTAGCCTTGCTTGGATAAGTTTACCTGAGTAGAAGCACTTTTTATTATTTCATTTCTTTTTCATCATCATGATGTTCTTTATTTTAACATTTTTTGTGTTTATTTCTCTCTCTCTTTCTGTCTCTCTCAGCCACATTCTTTTGCTTTCGTTTGTCCATGAGCAAGTGAAGAACAAAGTACACAAACTTAAAATTTTGTAGTTAGTTTCATCTACTTTGCGGTTTCTTTTTTGGCTACCAATGACATATACACTTTCTCACATCCTTTTCTTGCTGTTCTTTTGCATGTCCGCATAGAAGCAACACAGTGCTAAATGAAGTGTGAGGTATGTTTGGCAGTATGAAATCAGTAACGATAAAAAAAAAGAAAAATATTGGATTTGAAGGTAAGTATGTGAGTAAATGACGCGTCTTTTTGCAAGCTTCTATATTTTCTTTTTCTGCCATTCTCATTGCTGTGATTTCGTACATTTTTCAATAAAAATAATCCATCTAAAAATAAATTCAATTCATTCTCATCGAACATTGTGGTTACTTATTCATAGTCCTTGTCAATGCTATTGGAATCCATAAAAAAGACCAATCATATTAGATGAAAGTCTTCTTAAAATAATGAATTCTATATTGATATAATGCAAGAAAAGAAATTGAACGTATAATGATGCTCATTCGATTTTTGAGTCATGCCTTATTTATTGAAATAGGTTTTATTTAACTTTTACAAAAATGTATCAGTTATGTCCGTAAAATAGACTAACGGTAGTGCTGTTTGTATATGTTTCTTTTAATATACAGTTTTAGTATTCATTTCATGATGTTAGACAATCATAATGGTTGTAATAATACTATGTCTTTTATGATTTAGAAGACGAAAAAGAATGTCTCAAATAATTTCTAATTGATCAACGTTAATCATTTTATTACATTTCAAAGAAAAATTCAGCAGACTTTCTAATTAACTATACTCTTGGTTCGAAATCTGGATAGAATAAAAAAAAACGAAAGAAAGTAAATTTTACTTATGTTCAATAATGTCTAGAAACGAGAAGTCATAATTTATACATAACTACTATGGAGAGAAACCATTATAAATCGTTTGCTTTATTACTTGCAATAATATGAAATTTGGTCAAACTACATGAAAGTTAGTCAATATCAAATATTTGAATAAGAAATGTCAAAATGATATAAAGCAAACAATATTGTTATGTTTTTTATGCCGCCTAGAAATATATTTCTGAAATAAAAATAATCTTTTTTTTTTTTGAAAAAATATTCTATGAAACTTGTTGTAATACATTATGAAGAAAGTTTCGCATTGAATTGAATTTCATTCATATTTGTAAGAACATGCATAATGAAATCTAATACAGTATGACTTTCTTGCTGCTGCTGTCAAAATGTAATATATAAAAGAAAATATACTTATTAATGATGATATTAATACTTGAAATATTTAATAATCAAACCGAACTCTTTCATGTTTTTTTATGTTAATAATATTATAACTATGCAATTGTAACATATAAATTACCATATCAATGTTTATTTATTCTCTTTATATTCTCTTCGAACTGAAAAAATTAAGGAAATGCTTGATTTTCAGCTAAACATTGGTAGACCATTCTATCTTTTTGATGTTTACTTCCACTTATATAGTGTTTTAAGTATGATGAAAAAAAGAGACAGGAAAATATTGGATGTGCAAAATAGCATAGAAAACTTCAAACTAGCCATCTGAGATCATTAAAATGAAATGTTGAGGATATAGGTGTGAGACTTATCTTTACTAACATGCTTCTTTTTCCTTTTTTTAATTTCACATTTTTCCTTTGTTACTTTTCTTTTCATTGAAATTTTGTCTAGTAATAAAAAAAAGAATAAAAAGAGATTTCGTTAGGTAAATATTATTCATTTTCAAATGAACTTTCATTGAATTTGAGAATGCTGCCATTTCGTATTGGAGGACCTTTTTCAAGTACTTTTTCTTTGACCATTTTATTGTTTATTATTTTTGTTCTTTAAAAAAAAAACTTCATCTTCAATTATAATATATATTCTACTAATTCAATATAAAAATAACTGAAAGCAAGAACTACAATAGCTAAATCTAATAAATGCATAAAGAAATTTTCAAACATTGCTTATAAGGTCCCGAGCAGATGGATTAAAATTTTTATATAAATGATCAATTATTTTTCCAGCTACAATTTCATCTGTATTACGTGCAATTATGTAAAATATTAGAAATCCATCCATCTGTAAATAATCTAAAAATTCACTAGTTTTGTTTCTTCGATATGGTGATATTGTTGTCGATGTTGACAAGATTTCGTTTTCGTCGAATTTTTTTTTATTTATTTTTAAATATTTTTTAATTATTGATGATCGCTGACCTCTTCCAAATAGTATTATCCAAGGAAAGATTGATAAAAAATTGAATATTGTTAAGATTATTAACCATAGCCAAATACCAAGAAATATCTTTTCATTAAACATATTAATTGGTAAAGTACATTGTACTGCATACCAATGTTGATTTGAGCCTAAACGTCGTACCATAAAATCACACATTGTAACACGAGGAAATCTTGGTGATTCAAACCAATCACCATCACTCAATAATTTATTTATTCCTTCAGGACCAAAACTAGTAAAATTAAAGGATAAAAATGCATTTAATAAGAAAAATTGAGTCAGACTATTTATAACATAAAGAACTTTTACTGCTAAATACATTAATGTATAACCAATGTAAAAATTAGAACAACGAAAACCACAACACATTTCTCCTTTTAACGTATATTGTGCATCAAGATATAATCTGAATGATTTTTGTACTGATTCCACACCTTTATCAGTGTCTGGTTGGTCTTTTATAGTTTTTATCAGTCGTTGAATATTGAGACCACCTAGCCGCGTGAATGTATGCCAAATGTAACGAGGTAAAAGAAAGAACATAGCCATAAAAAGTAAAATAAATGCTGTCCATTGATAATAGGAACTAAATATTTAATCTTATTTGAAATAGAGAATATATTTGAAGATATAATACTTACACAAAGTACGTTCGAGGCTTCGATCGATCAGGTATAGTAACTAAAATATATTGAAAGAAATATTATTGAATATTGAATACATCTGTGTTCACATTGCATTCATTTATTTTGTCACTCATTTAGAATTTCTTTCTAAGCAAAAAAGCTTTTTTTTCAGATTCTTTCGTTAATTAAAACCTTTTATTTGGTCATTTTTCTGAGACATATGCTTCAATGACAAAGTATATTAACGTAACATACTGTCTTCTGTTGGAAGATAATAGGATCCTTTTAACCAACAAATACTGTTCGCATAACCATCATGCTGTCCTTTGAATTCAGCTAAATTCAAGTAATACAAAACGAATGAGAAATATTTGGTTTAGTTTTTTTTTTGTTTAAAATAAACATGCCTGGTGTCCAACAATTAATTGGTTTACCAACTAAAACACCTCCCAGAATAATAAAAATACACATAGTGAATCCCATGACTGTAATTCTATTATTTAAACGATCGACAAGATCGTCGTCTTCAAGATGACTTGTCTTTGGTCCATAACGATCTTCAGCTATGAGAATTTTGTCCATAGAAATAAATTGTTTAATAATGAACTATGTTTAATATATTAGTACGAATGTTTATCAATGAATGAAAGTAATCTTATTTTTTCGTTTTTATGAGTCTTGTCTTTTTGTGTACCTGTGTGTGTACGTCGATTTCTTTTTCTTTCTTTCGTTCGTTTGCATTTCATGTATCCATGAGAGATTGAAACGTAAAATGCATAAACAGAAATTTTTTTGCGGTTTTTGCATTGACTGCTCGATTTCCTTTTCAGCTGCCATTGACACACTTGTTCATACTCTCTTATGCAAACATCGACTAGTTGCGTTGTTTAATAAAGTCTTAAGTGTGATGGTAGTGAAAAGGCATTAAAATAAGCAAGGAAAGAAAGCATACGAAGATTTCTAATGAATATGCCAATAAGCAATATATATTATTCATTGTATTGTTTTTATTCTCAGTCGATGTGGTTACATCTCTTTGTCAAGTAATTTATTATTCTTTTATAAAATGAATGAAAAAAAGATTTTATTTTTTTAAACTTGAAAACTTTCATAGCGGAAAATTTTTTTTCTACAAGAATAATATATATTATAACACTTGCTCAGTATTATTTATTATTTTTTAACTATATTATTATTCATTGAAAAGCCATTTTCGATCATAATTTTTGACCTTAATTTGAAAGGCTACAACAAAACTGATTGATAATTAACATATTTATTCATAGCCTATCAATGTATTATATATTTATATTCTCATGAATAGTTGTGTTTCACTACATGAAAACCGAATTCATAAAAAAATGAGTTGAATCAGAAAAAGATTCGGCTATTATTAATGAACTTTATTTCTTTTACTAAGAGAAAAAAATTGTTTTTAGTTTTTAAATTGATGAAGTATCAACACGTTCATAATGTCCATTCGACTGTATTTGATGATTATTATCATCATCATTGTTCTCTTTTTTTATCGAATTTAAATAAATTTTAAAAAGTGCACCAACAAGATTAGCCATGATAATATCATTTGTATTATGAGCAATAATTCGAAGTACAAGTATACCATCATATTTTAAATATTTTTCAATGAATTCATCTTGTTGTTTTTCTGTTGACTTGGATAAATTCATATGAAGATATTTATAAATAAATGTACAACCAATATTCATATAAATAAGAATACAACATAAAATAAGTGATACAAATGTAAGGCTACTAAGAAGCATAAACCATGCCCAAAGAATTAAAAAAATAAGTTCATTAAATAAATTAATCGGTAAATTACATTGAACTGACCTAAAGTTGAATGTATCAGTTAAGAAATAAGATGAACAATATTAAGTTACCTCCAATGATGATTAGAAC